AAGGTATTGAAAAATTAGTTGTAATATCCCTTTAGTCATTTGCCGAACCGGAAGCTGGAATCGGAAGCCAACTTCAGCTTCGTTTGAACTTGTGACACCGGCCATCGGTAGTGAAAAAGAAAAGTAAGACAGAAAACATATTCTAGACATGACATATAACTACAAAAACGTAAGTCTATATGAAATAAAATTTAAATGTAAGTTTAAATAAAATAATGAAAAACATATCTCGCCCAACGTGGGGCTCGAACCCACGACCCTGAGATTAAGAGTCTCATGCTCTACCGACTGAGCTAGCCGGGCGTGTATTACTGCCGGGGTATCGATACCAAAATTTGTTTTTTCCCTCAGAATCGATATCAATGTTTTACCAAGACACGATTCTCTGTGTTAAACTTTCCCATGTGGTTGGATACCCTATTCCTGATAAACAAAGCCCAATAATAATTAGGCACAACTTTTYCGCCAAAAGAGGGTGTCGATAACCGTGAGCTACGCCCACTCTCGTTTACCTTGACAGAGTTTCGTCTCCCCCGTGATGTTATGATAAATGGCYCGAAACGACAAGAACCGGATGAAATCCGCTCCGGTTATGAAGACAAACAGCAGGTTTAASAGAGAAACGGCGCCGAGAGCCCAGCTGCGAACTGCGACTGACGCCATTTCAATCAGCGCTTCATGTTCATTTCACTTCCACAGTTCCGGGAGAGCAGCTGCTGTCGATACCGAACATGACCGCAAGATGGCGCTGCTGTCCATTCAAGTCATGGAGACACTGTGTTATAACAGCTTATTCAAGTCTATGATTTAACGTGTTTTTACAGGAATGAAGAAGAATCTTGATTTAACATTAATTTTAAAAAGAGATTTAACTTAAAATYTATTTAAAGCATTATTAGACCCACCCCTTTATGATTTATTAGACCTGAGCACCTCAGGTGATTCACCTCAGGTGACCTCTTGAAATCAGTGTTTATTTCCATTTTTTCTTCTTTTTAAGATTTGTTTTTGGGCCACATTAAATTCTTCTTGGGGGGGATTTATTATACTCAAAAACTCTCCAACATTTAGGAAAATTTTAAAATGATACTGAAATGTTGACATTATGAAAAATAAATATGAAAAAATAGGCTAAATCAAACAGAGACCTGTAAAATCAAGATTTTGAAGTATTGTTTATTTACACATCAATTTGTCACACCGCTTAGAGGTAAAAGACACTTTTTAATAGAAAAATACAAAAACTGATTGCCTGGTTTAAACAACAAAAAAGATAAATGGARGAAAATCTGTATTTCTTAGATGGCTCATATCAAAAGAGGCTTAAAATGCACCAGTTTTAGACATTTTAAACAGCAGTTGATTTTTAATTGGCTTATTTRTTTATTTATTCATTTATTTCATTCATAAAGCAACAAAAAATCTATAAAAATGTAAATCAGTTACTGAATGAACAGGTTGTAGAAAGAAGAAAACAATCTTATATCTGCCCCTTATTAAAAACAATTTCAAACAATCAACTTACACTTGAAAAGTCCCCATTTTATTTTTTATTTCTATTTTACTCTAATATGTGGAAATAATGATCAATTTGTGTGAATCCTTTAAGAATAAATTGTTTTTAAGGAAAATTTATGCTGTTTCCTCTGTGAACTACAGAAAATGCCAAATAAAAGTTGCATTAATGTAAAAGTGTAAAGCCATCGTGTCTCTATAACAGGATTTAAAAAATGCATTAAATTTTTCAATAAAGTGGGAAAACTCTTCAAATCAGATGAACCTCACCACTATAACACTCTACATGATAACACTTGTTAGACATTTGCACACGAATCGACTCCGTGGATCCCTGAAACRYCAGAAAAGAAAAGAGATGACTAACATTTCTCATATTTCACATGCAGGGGATTTGTGACATTGAAACTCACCTCTGTTGGGAGTATGGGCCTCATGCAGGCGCCACAGAGCCTGGACCCTGAAACCAGGAGGGAGTCTCAATGAAACCAAGGTGGGGTTTCTGTCCTCCAGCTTGGGTCAGGGATTCCCCTCATTCTTTAAATTTTTATTTTTTTCACAAAGTGAGCAAAAAAAACTTGTAATTTCACCTGTGATAGTCGCTGACGCAGTAAATCCTGCTGTTTGAGTCCACAGCAAACGGCTGATCCACCAGTCCCCGCCTGCAGACGACGCAGCAGAAACAGGCCGGGTGGTACGCTTTSCCACGAGCCTGCAGGACCTGATGGTGCACGAATCACTCAAACTTTATGTAAAAAATAACAAAATCTAAAAGAACAAATACGAACCAAGTCTGTGATCGAGCCGCCGCAGCTGTTACATATCTCTACAGATGGATAGACTCCAGAAAACTGCAACAAATCTCATAAAAAAACACTTCAAAGTGGATGGAGTTCCCTTTTATCTGGAACACTTAAAGGTTCATACTCACCAAAAAGTCATCCTCACAAAAGATTTGCTCTGATGCTGTGAAAAATGGCTTTCCACTGAGCTGTTTGTCTGGTTTAAATAAAAAAAAAAGCACAAATTCAATGCTTGTTTCCCCCTGTTTTTACTTTGGACCTGCCTGACGATGTGTGGACTCACTGCAAACGCTGCAGGTGAAGCAGGTGTTGTGGAATAAATGTCCCATGGCCTGACAGGCTCCTCCTGCAGCATGCACCGCTTCACTGCATCTTCTGCAGCTTCCTAAAAAAAATAATTATTTTTTTTTATTCAAGGACCGTAAAACTCACAACATGTCAGTAAAAGCTCCATCCTCACCCAAGTGAAGACTGTGACAAGAGCCTGGGTCCATCCCGGAGCCCTCSTTCTGACTTCAGAGGCTAATTTTACCAACAGCTGTAAGGGGAGCTGACCTGGGTTTATGGGTGGAAATGAGTCTGCAGACCCCCTGACTCCTCCATGGTGTCTGCTCTGTGGGTGGCAACAGAGGATACTGCTGTTAAATCAGATTAATGTAAATCATAAATATATAATAATATATAATTAATGGATACCGGCGGTGCTCAAATATTGATTTAAACGTCAAACTTTTGTGTCTGAGTCAAGTTAACAAATTTTATAWACATACAGGAGATACTTTAAACAGCACAAAAAGTAAGGGAATTATTGTTTGGTRGATTATTTCTTTGTTATGACAATGAATTTTATGCTGGGCACCCAGGGGCGGAGCCAGAGCTGATTGGCTGCCTCAGGTTCCGCCCCCAAATAACAAACAAGTGAGGATCTTGGATTCTCTTATACTTCTGTACTGTATTAATCTTCTGTTGTGTACAATTAAAAATGGCTATATTGCAGCCATTTTTAAAGTTAGCATTGTAATTAGCTTAATTTGGGATTAGCATCGCCAATCGGGATGTGATCATTCTTAGCTACGCTACAACAAATTTCATCTCAACAAGTCTTGAGATGAAATTGTCAATTCAAAATGTTTGAATTGTAGCCTTTTAAAGTTAGCTATGGAGGCCATCTTGAATTTTTGATTAGCGTTTAGATTTTGGTAAACAATGTTTTTGGCTACCTCTATACTGATATTCAGCTTTGTACAAAACAAATTTTATTGCGACTATTATTCAGCATGTTTTGTGGATCATTCCTGTGCTCATATGAAATTTCAGCTCATTTCTTTTTAAAACAGCTGCATTAAAGCCATTTGAAATTAGCTGTGGAGACTATCTTGAATTTTCAAATTAAGGGTGCTTTTATTTTTTATGCTCCCCCAACTCCCAATAAAATAAAATAAAATAAAATAAAATAAAATAAATATTATGACCACCCTTGTGCCACCCCCCCTCCCCAAAAAAAGCCTAGCTCCGCCCCTGCTGGCACCTGTTTGGCAGTGAAGATTTGTCAAATTTTCATGTGCGCAACCCACTCTCCTGCTCATCCAACAAATGCATGTTCCTTACAAATGTGGCACCGTTTAAAAGATAAATTACCAGGCTTTCCAACAGTGTAAGATTTATTTTCAAGAAGCATTATTACAACAAAGAAACAATCTACTAAACACTCATTTCCTTACTTTACATGCTAAGCTTATTTTGTAGCATTGAACATATTTTTTATAATCTAACTAAATTTGTTTTTAAATTAAATTAGTATAAATCTAATATTTATCTGAAAAGTAACAAACTCAGTGTGATATGTTGTGTGTTTATCTGTGATGGGATCATGAAGGCAACAGGTCCAGGAGAGAAACCCAGACTCTGCTCAGCTCAGAGTCGTTCCCAGTGGGACATGCTGGGAAAAAGGGGAGGCGTCCAGGAGGCCTTTTGATGCAGAGGAGCATCTAYTGATGTCCTGCATCAACCTGAGGCAAAGACTCTCCTTTCCMTTCCTCTTGAACAAAAAATATGAACAGAAATGAAACAATAACAGCTGTGATCTTATTGAACACATGTTCTGCTGCCTCCATGTGGATTCTTATCAGTCAATAAAACCAGCAGATGTGTCACAACAATGCTGCAGTGACTGGAAATGAACAGGTCGGGATTTTTTTTTTACTCTGTTTATTTTTAAATCCTTGTTGCTCAGAGGAGGAAGGTGTGGCAGAGATGAGCTCCTTTCAGCAGCTGACTGTTCCTGCAGTCAGCTGCTGAAACCCTGAAAGTCCCCTGCAGCACATGTTTGTGTGTGTGTGTGTGTGTGTGTGTGTGTGTGTGTGTGTGTGTGTGTGTGTGTG